CTCCCCAGAATGCACCTTGGTGGTAAGTAAAACTAATATTAGGATATGTGCTCTAATACTAACATATTTTTTCTCTCTTTCTCTACATATACTCATTATCTCTCTCTCTCTCTTTTGACATGATGTCATTTTATTCAAACGTATTTTTCTTTGTCGTCTTTTTACATATATAATTTTTTTATTTTACGACAATATTTTAAAAAATTAACGTCAATAGTTAATAAAAATACAATATTTACCTGATCCATCTAATTTGCTGTTACAAGGCACTTATTTGTCGAATTCGTATTGATTCTTAAAAGGAAATTTGTTTTTAGGAAAGGCATTACTGAACAAAAGAATAATACAAGTAAATACTTGAAGGATTTTACAAAAGCTCAGGGCAAAAAATGAAAACACAATGACCGAAAGCGTGATTCTTTCCTAACTGCTGAGCCTTAAAGAGCATTTATTTATTTTTTCCCTCTTTCTCTCTCTATATTCACTATGCAAAACACAATTACAATGACTTCAGATGAACAACAGCAAGCACCGCCTTCATGGGATCAACTGAGGAAGGAAGCAAGACAGTTGGAAAGCGAGATTGAAGTTAAATTGTCAACACTGGCAAAGATTGGCCAATCAACTGGATTAGACAATACTGGACAAGAAGTCGAGACTGACGAATTATTGAAGAAGGTAAATGAAGAAGGATAGAATAGATAAAAAATAACATTACAGTAATATATAGCTACAAAACGTGATTACCGAGATGGGAGACTTTTTGGACAGACCAAGCATTATACCAACTAGCACCTCCATGATTCATTTGTTAGGAAGACATAAAGATATATTATATGATTATACCAAAGAATTTAGAAGAGTCAAGGTAATAAAGAAGAAAGAGAGATAGAAAGTATGATATTAAGAAAGATGCGTGTAGGCTAACATAAAAGCGGCAAGGGATAAAGCAAATTTAATGAGTCAAGTACAAGATGAGATAAGAACATTTAATACAGCAAGTAATAGGGATAATGCGGATTATTATCTAACAGAGCGCAACAGAATAGAGGGATCTCATCGACTGACAGATATGATCTTGGAGTAAGCATGGTACAAGATAAATTACATAATTTACTCAATATAACGTAGACAAGCGTATGCTACTAGAGATGATATATTTAGACAAGGTAGAGTGATGCGTAATGTAAACCAGAGAGTTGGAAACATAGTGAGTAAGTGCCCAAGTAAATTATATGTATTTTACACAAGCTAATCAGTTCATACCCTCAGGTCATATCCCTGGCATAAACAATATCATTTCACGTATAAACACAAGAAGAAAAAGAGATACACTCATCATGGCTGGCGTAATATCAACTTGTTCTATCCTCATCATTTTATATTGGTTACATACCTAATAAAAGAAGTTCTGCCCTTTAAACATCCATTTAAAAAAAAAAGAGAAAAGGGGAACAAAAAGGGGAGAAATTATGCTGATTTAATAAAAAGATGTTGCAACATAATATTTTTTTTTTCTTCTTCTTTCTTCTCTTAATTTTATTTTCTTATGTCGAAATTGGTAAATGCGCTTCAACAGCAAGAAGAAGAATATAGACATCGTCCACCGATACACCTTCGAACTTCAAAGAGTTCAACCATACGACATAACTTACTTTCACCTACAAGGACAACCAGTAGCACCTTGAGAGGCAATTCGACGAGTCGACGAAGAACAAACAGTTTCAATTCAACTGTCAAAAAGGACGTTAAAGTACTACCGAGACTAGAAGAAGAGAACGCAAGCTTGCCTCCTCAGGTAAATTCTTTTTCTTTCGTTCATTATACAAGTTAAACATTCCACTCTTTTGTGATTAGGATTCCGTTGAGTTTATACTTGCTCAGATCGAAAGACAGAATGCGAAACTAGATGAAGACCCCAAGTCAGTCTGTATTCAATCAAACCAGCTCAAGGCTAATCTGTCAACGATTCAAAAACTAACTACGAATAAACAAGAAGATAATATCGATTGGGAATTCTGGACAGCATTAACAGAGGACTTTAGTTCGGTTGCTTTAAAACTACCACATCTTGTCTCAGCAAAACTCAGGGCAGGTATTCCATCCAAAGTCAGAGGTGTCATTTGGCAGGCTATGTCTCAGTCGGCCTCTCTTAATTTGGAAACAATGTATGGACAGCTTGTAGCGGAGCATTCTCCTTATGAAAGAATCATTCAGCGTGATCTAGCTCGTACTTTTCCAGGTATCGACATGTTCAAGCAGGAAGGAGGTCATGGACAGCAGTCGCTTGAGCGTGTGTTATCAGCCTACAGTCTCTATGACTCACTTGTTGGATACTGTCAAGGGTTAGCCTTTTTAGTAGGTCCTTTACTGTTGAATGTAAGTAGGCAATACAGTATATATATATATTTGTGTGTGTGAATACATGTATGAAGGAAACAACAACAATTAACAAGGTAAAATCGATTAGATGCCCGAGCAACAAGCGTTCTGTGTGTTTGTGAGGCAAGTGCTTTTTCTTGCTTAAAAAAAAAACAAAATATAACATCATATCTAGACTGATGGAAACTTATGAAATGAGGACCATGTTTACATTAAACATGGAAGGTTTACAGCTTAGATTATACCAATTTTCAAGCCTGCTTGATCAAATATTACCCGATTTATCTGAATTTCTGACACTTCATGAAGTGAATGTGCCTATGTATGCATCCCAATGGTTTTTGACATTGTTTGCTTATGCATTCCCTATGGAACTTATCTTACGTATATATGATATCGTGTTTGCAGAAGGTGCAGCAGAGACGATTATGCGAGTATCCATTGCGATGATGAAGCGGTCCAAACAGAGGATTATGCGGTTCACAGAATTTGAAGATATCTTGGACTTTTTATCCAACAAACTGTATGATGCTTATAACAACGATCCAGGGCAAGTCATTTCAGATGCAGTGCAGTTGAGTAATGTAATTACCAAGGAAAAGCTAGATCATTTAGCAGAGACCTACGTGACAGAAATAGAAAAGGAACAAAAACAGACAGAGCAGGTGCTTGCTGTCCGATTCAATTTCTGGTCAAAATCAAATGGTAGTCATAACAACAGTAACGGCAGTAATCGAAGTAGTAACAGTATCAGTCGAAAGAAAAAGACAATGTCTTGGTACAATAGTGCACCCAAAAAGAGTAGTGAGTCCGAGAGATCATCCTTGAAGGAGCCAAGTGTATCAGAATTGCATCATCAGATTGAAGAATTACTATCAGCCATTTCACAGATGCAAAGGGAAGCCGTTACGCTAAAAGATGAATTGATGCAAGCTAAACTTGATAAAATGGATGTAGAAGCAGAAAGAGATGCTCTAAAAATAACAATAGAAAGCGCATTTAATAATGTAAAATTTGAAAAAGAGTGTATGGAGCTACGTAAAGAGAATTCAAGGTTGAAGCAAGAGAAGGAAGAGTTAGTTCAGCAACAAATCATGTCTAAAGATGCATTAAGTGCACTTGTAGAACGCATGCTGGATATGAAGAATAAGGTGGATCATTTGGAACAAGAGAATAAGAGAATAACTAGAGAATGTCAGATATTAAAAAAAGAAAGGCCAAAGTCGATAGCATCAATATGCAATAACAATCACTCATCATCATCTGTTTGCTCAGTACATAAATGCTAAATTGAAATATAAAATAAAAAGTGACAAATGATTATCCTAAATATATTAAACCATATCTACAGTCACACCGAACTAGTGTTCGTACTATACAAAAATTTAGTAAAAATCGGTGTACACTAGGCGCACGAGGAAATTTGCTATCTGCCTAAGCTGTTTTCTTTAACATAATTATTGTAGCAACTATGCATTATGCAATCTAATGTTTGTTTATAAATAATATTGTTGTCAATTATTCCTAATCTACAACATGTCGGTTCGTACAGAGGCGACAGCGTTGGCCAAGTAAGCTTTCAAAGCTTTTTCTCAAAGCCAATTAGATACCAATGCTTCATTTTTGTTTGTTCCAAGTAAAACAGGATTGGTCTGTGAACATCAGGTATCTCTGGGCGTAATGGAAGAAACAGAGTATTACCCGCTGTTTTTGAATATACAGCAATTGCTCTATTCTAAACATCGGCAGCAATCTGGAGACAATCGATTGGTGGAGTAAGATCATAATTGTTAAGAATTCTGCCTACATCGTCTTCTCTTATTATGTCTATTCTCTATATGTCAAACCTCTATAACTTGCTTAGATGATATATTACTTTACCTCTGTAAATTCCGTCTTTGCTCTTATCAAACTATTCCTTCATGTCTTGCTTGACTCTCATTCGAAGGTTTTCATCGCCATATGTGACATGCACAATGCAACGAAAGCTGCAATTACCATCACCTTGTGAGTTAAGGATTAATTCCATTTTCTTTATCCATGTATCTTTGATGTTGAGTAAGTCAATAAGCCTGACCTTTATCTCCATGACAGTAAGGGCTCCATTAACAACTGTAAGGTTGCATAATTAGTTACAACACAGAAGCGAGATCTATTTAGATGTGTACTTCTCATATTCTTTCTTCTTTTTTCTTCGGCCTTTGTCTCTAGTTTGGCCTTTTTCACTTCATTTTCTTCCATATTTTCTAACAAAATTTGTCTTCTCTTTGTTCCTTTTCGACGTCCGTTAGTATTTGTTTTGATTGATGGAGGTAACACATGGTCCAAGCTTTTTGCTTCCTTGGAAGCTTCAGCTTTCATGAGTTCATTGATTATATCACGCTTATCTTGGATAGGCTGTAAGTAGTCGAATACTTTTGCTAGGTATGTGTGTGATATTCTTGATAAACAAGTATAAGACGAAAGATTCAATGGGAAAGAATATGGGGAAGTTTATTTCTAATAAAATTAGACCCAGATTTTACTACTGCTAAAAGATTTACTGTATTTATATCAAATGACAACCTAGAGTGAGTACGACGTGAGATGTTAATACTTATTAAACTATCCTGACACATATTTCCATAATTGAACAAGTTTCCCCTTTAAGGGTTCTTTTGTCTACTCGTTAGCACTGATTCAAGGGCCCATTGGCTCAATCCAATTTGTTTTGCCAAGTACAAAGGTAAGAGGCAAAAGCTAATAAGATGAGAAGAGGATAGGAAAAGGACAATAAGTCAGTGAGACTGAAATATATGATATCTTTATTTACGATGAATAAAACAATGGTATTTGTCGTATTTACCTTATAAATACTTGATCTTGTCGTATGAGATTACTATAAATCTACAGTGACTCAAAAAACTGGCAACATGTTTCGCACTTTTGAGTTTCGGCATGCGTAGCTCATTCATTTCTT